GTGCTGGTTCCCACAGGAAGTTCCCCCATTTTAGAAGTAAGTAAAGGACAACAAATTAGTTTCAGTGCAGAGTTTAAGTGGTGGGAATAGATAATAATCCAACACAGAACTGAAAGAAAAAACCAAAACCCCACAGATCAGAGACAAAGTTCTGATATTAACCAGTAAAGACCTAACACCACCAAAGAACACCTGTAGAACCTAGAAGGACCAGAAGCCCCTGGGCTCCCAAGCTGGGGTTGGGGGAGGGCCAAGGGCCTCAGCCATGCCCTCCCCTACCCCCTCCACTGTCAGCACCCAGCCCAGCAATGACCACTGAGCAACCGGGGGGAATGCCCTGGGCTCCTGAGCTGGGGTGGTGGGGGGCCGAGGGCTTTAGCTATGCACCCTGGCATCCACACCCAGCCAAGCAATGACCACTGGGCCACCATCAGAAGCCTCCTGGGCTCCCCTGCTGGAATGAGGGAGGTGCCACAGGCCTCCACCATGCCCCCTCCTTCCTCCTCCTCCCACCCTCTCCCTTCCCCTCTCCTCCTCCCCGTCAACTGCTCTGCAGCATCTTAGAATGTAAACGATAATGATAAACAGATTAAAAAATAAATAAATAAAAAGAGCCTAATGATATGTACAACAAGGGTTGTCATGTGGATTAAGAGTGATCATGTCTGTGAAGGATGGTTTGTGTTAGAATTATTATCATTACCACTACATAATTACTACCACTTGCTCCCATCCAGCTCAGTGTGTTTATATGCTTGGTTCTGGGACTCTCTAGTAAGTAGGTATATCTAATATATTAACCCTATCATATTAATCCATATATCAAGTATATTGCTGTTCCCTCTGAACTGAGTAAGTACCAATTAGAATATGGGTTCTTCAAGACCAACTCTTTTTAGTCCCTACTAGTTCGTAAGAATGATTTATTTTTCTCTTGTTACCCACTGTCAGAAATAGTTCAAACGCAGATCACAAAGATCTGATTCACTTCCCATCCTTCAAACTTGCTAAAAGCCTGGAGTCCACGCAGTGTATGGAACACTATATCATGATTTGGGAGAATTTGGCCAGGACATGAGTTTGGAGCTAAAACTTAGGTTCAGGTATCAAAGAGAAATAAATTCCAAAGGGTCAGTAGTATTGGGCAGAGCAAAATTTGTATCTATATAAACAAATGAAATAAAATGCACAAATAAATATATATGATTTGTATAAACAGAAATAAGTCATCCCTTCAGTTCCACTCTCTGTCCCCTTGGTACCTAAGGCCACCCATCCCCAGGAGCTAGCAGTGCCTCCCTAGCTATGTTCCAGGGCTCTGTCTTAGACACAAAGAGCACAAAGTCTACAAAGATGCTGGCTACCCTCACTGCTGTCTGAAGGAAGTATGTCAAGAACATAATCCAGGCATAATGAATTGTGCCAAGTAACTTAATTATTCAACACCATAAGGATTAAAGGACACTCAGCCACCAAGTAACTTTGGTTTCCCAGAAAGG